GTATATATAAAAGATAATACATTATAATATATTATATTATTGCTAATATATTATTGCTGCGTGAATTAAATTTTAATAAGCTCCTTATTAACTCATTGAAATCGTGTTAAGTGACGATTCTTCTAATAAATAAATATACAGTGATTTTAAATTATATCAATATATTTTATATATTTCTCATATAATTAAATAATACTTTGTAAGTACATTATTGGCCCTGTATGGGCATTACTAAGGCATCCAAAATAAGAGCTTGCCAAATTTAAGCCCATTTAGGGCCTAGTTAGGACCTAGTTTTTTATTTTTTTTTAAATATTATTTTTATTTATATGCTTAGAGTCTTTTTCTGATCTGATTAGATCATCAATGTTTTCCTCAAGACATTTTAATTTAAGTATGTCCAACTATAGCTATTACAGAGGAGCCAGTTCTTGAGGAAAACATTATCTAACCTAATCATACCCGAGACAGGTTCTAAGCATACAAATCGAAATAACATTTAAAAAAAATGAAAACTAGGTCTTAACTAGGTTCTAAATGGACTTGAATTTGACAGGCTCTTATTTTGAATGCTTTAATAATACTGGCCCCGTATAGGCATTAAGTATTGAATATAGGACGCCCGGATAAATTTCCACACGGGCTATCGTCTGGCACGTGATAAATTTTTCTCGCTTTTCGATGGAAATTTAGAGATTTGGAAATATAAAAAAATCTTTTCCAGGAAATTATCTATCTTATCGTATCTTAAATCCAAATCTTTATAAATCCACCAAATAAGATAAAATGTTGAGAAATAAATTAAGAATGTCTATAGATAAGAATAAAAATGTAGACAAAATATGATAAAAAAATGTGACATAAGTAAATATAAAAAAGATAATAGAGTGAAAAAAACATTGTCACATATTTCTGACTTGTGTATCATTGAGTAAACAGAAAAAGAGAAAACGTGGGTAATCGAGTTGTTTTCCAAACGTCCAAAGACTGTAAACTTTCCCTGAAAATTTCGAGATTTTTTTGTCTCCTCTTATAACAGAACAAACCATTTAAATAATGTAACTGGATCTGTTATGTTAGACACGCTCTCCCGTGAACTTGTCTCGGAAACGAGAAACATGATTAAAACCGCTGTTGGACGCGCTGAAAACGGCTCATTCCGTGGGCTGAACGTGTTAAGCGTAATCGCGTGGTATGCCATGCTCGTAGACAGCTGATTTTTAACGTCCGCGAAGGATTCAATTTTTCCGAGGCGCATTATTCATAGCGCATTACCGCTAACCGCGCACCGTATTCCGGTACGGAATTACCGGTACGCACGCATGCGCTATTATGCACGGCAACTTGTTCAACGACGCCCACTTGTTCAAGCCGCCAGTCCCCCTTTGTCGACGTACAAATGCGCCGTAATTAGAAAAGTGTACGCGTATAAGCGTGCATGTTCGTTGACACTATCAGACTTCCCGTCTCTGGCCTCCCTCCCCCGCGGAGAAGAACGCGGTTGCATTCAATATTTTATGCACCGTGCTAGGCGAAGCGTCGCCCGCGCTCTCGCTTTTCTTCTCTCCCTTACCGTTATTATTCGTGTCATCCATCTGTGTAAGCACACCGCGGTCGACTATAGCCAGTGGATGAACTCTGCCTCGCAATCGATCGATTCTCCAATTTCCCGGTGTCTTCTTACATGCATTTCTGCACGCGACAATCTTTCTTGCTCGGCCCGAGTGATAAAATCTTTTCGCCGCTTTTAACGATTTTTCCCCGGGAAATCAGATTGAAGATTCGATAGGGAGGCAAATTGGTCACGTTCTAAAAATATTTCTCGACGAACGGAAGCGTAAAATTTCAAAGACTATTCAACGCGAAATAAAAACGCGAAGTAAAAGTAATAGTGAATTGGGAAAATGTAAAAATTGCACAATTTAACGATTTTTTAAAATTAAATTTTGCAATTAAATATGTTATAATTTATAGAAAAAGAGATTTTTTATTAAAGCACGCTTGCAAGATATTTATAACGAGATGAGAGAGCGGATGTGCGATTTGAAATATTTAAATTTAATCTTGTATCAAACATAAAATAGTCTCGTCTCATGTAAGTAAAAAAATAATAGCGCGCGAAATCTCTCCAACGAAAGAAATTAGAAATTTCTATTCTGCCGTGTTAAACTGATTTTCGGAGAATCGATTGTGCCATTAAAATGCAACAGGTTTTCGAGACGGGACGGATCCGAGTCCTCTCGATCTTGCAGAGCATTCCATCGAGCGGATCAAGGTCTCGCCCTTTTCATGCTATTGAATAGCGAATGACTTCGCTTTTCAATTCTTGACTCGTATATAATTTTCACAAGATAAATAATAACGTAAAGATAAATTATATATATTTTATTTATAAATCTTTAAAAAATTTAAATTTAATCTCGTATCAAACTCCAAAATAATCTCGTCGCGTAACCGGGTTACTCTTTCTCTCTCTCTCTTTCTTTTTTTAATGAACACTTTCATTGTTTAGCGAAAAGTTTGCGAAATGTTCAGATATTTAGATACTCATGTTTTATCATAATTAAATACGATTGTGTATAAATTAAGATAGGAGATAAATACAGCGCGCTGATTCGCGCAAACATGTCAATGGCTCCTTGATGCGTACAACTGACCCTTCTCGCGCTTATGGTAGCTTGTAATCTCGGTTGTAGACCCGTTTATCTGTCACTGCGCCAGTCGCAACTGTCGTTTCCATCGTCAGCGAATCATAAAATTTCACTAACCTGATATACGATATACAATTCGCTACGTCTCGCTCGTATATACTATACGACGCAATCAAAACGAGTATAATGAAAAGCGATGCAGTATCCTCGTAAACAGGTAATAAGACGCTGTTACCAGCGTTCCATGGCTACATGTATCCTTGAGTTGAAAATACTTATCTGACGAATTTCAATCGGCAAGATTATGGATACGTGGGAATAAACGCGAACGTTATATGGCCCGATAATACTACAACCTCTGATATTCTATTGTATTTTAATATTTGTGTCGCTACCCATTTTTCTATCCTCTACTCCTTTCGTAATTATTTCTTTATATCGTGTCATTATCGCGTATATCATTTTAATCATTAAGAATGCATCTTAACTTTTTCGTAAAATTTTCATGCAATCGTAAATTTGAATAAGATATGCTTTACTTTATTCTCTTTCTTCTTTTTGCAATTGTAATTTTCTGAAATTATGTTTCATTTTATCAAGATATTTATTTAATATTTTTAACGATATATCTTTTCCTACTATTTGAAAATTTCATTTACCAAAACAGATAAGATATCAGTTTGCGGATTCGGAAAGATTATAAGAAGAAATTATTTTATATCATTATAATTAAAAAAAAATGTTTTCGAACTTTTATGAATTTAATGGCTTATTTTTTCCCTTAATTAAATATTTCCACAAATTAACATTATTATATCTAAGACATTTATGCCGCGTTTTATTGTACTTACTTAAAAAATATTAATTTCGAGAATCATGAATTTTTATTATTTTTATCTTACGCAATTCGACATGATTTATCATCATTACGCATAATTCTTCCCACTTGTCGCTTGAAAATTTTCCTTCCCTCGCCCAATCTCCGACGAATTGACCGCGTCACGTGACGTCCTCGCTTTCTAACATCGGCGGGGAGGAAAAAAAAATCGAATCACGGCGAGCCCGATCGATTCGCACAGCTGGTTTCCTGCCGCATACGCAAATGCGTATTTACATACGTATGTATATATAAACGTGCAGCGTCACGCACGTGCGTGTGCTCTTTCCCGTTCGCACGCGCGCGCTCGTTTGTATGCACGTATGACGTAGCCCTCGATGTGTGCAATGTCGCTGCGTGAAACGCAACGCGCGTACGCGTAGCGTGGCCGCCGAGGGACCGCACGTGTGTTGGATCTATTCGCCTTCTCGTCCCTCTGACCATTTATTCGCCCTTTCTCTCTCTCTCGCCCCGCTCCGAGGAAACAACGCGCGCGATTGGCCGTCGCGACTACTCTCACCGTCCCGACCCACCGCCAGTCCACGGACGACCCATTCCATTCAGTCACCCGAACGGACTCGAATGTTACTACCACGTTATCCACATCGCGTCCTATCTCCCTCTCGCTCGCTCCCTCGCTCCCTCTCTCTGTCGCGCTCAGCGAAACGTGTCTTTCTCGCATCAAGGCGTTTTCTGTCGTCTCTCTCTCTTTCGCTCGCTCGCTTGCGTCGTACATGCGGAGCAACGTGCGTCGCGGAAACGTTCGTACAGGTTTCTAACCTGACCTAGGCGAGCGAGGCATGGCCAGGGGCGAGAGAACCCGACGCAATGTTATCCGGTGTTGGAAGACCGGCGAAGGAAGACTGAAAGAGAAGCGGATGGGAAAGGAGAAAAGAGGATTCGGCTACCTTCTTCCATCGAGGCCAGACGGATCTTTATCAACGACCCTAAACGACGATCGTCACTCGCTTTTTGACCCTAAACGACCATCGACGATCGTCTTTGCTTAAAGGACGGTCCGTCCAGTGCTTTTTATTATGTCGGGATGCAAATTTGCGCGGCACAATAGTCCTAATAGAGTCCTTTAGGTTTTCAGTTCCACTTACTGGGCAAGATGTTTTATTTTCTTTTAAATATTCTCGAGAGAATTCAAAAAATTGCAGATACAAAAATAAAGAAGCGAGGATAGATTACAAAACGCACATGTATCTTAGGCTTTGACGACAGAGACTTCTAACAAACTTAATTATAATTTGAGCTGTATAAGCAAAATATATATCTCAATATACATTAATATACATTGGAAAAAATGCAGACTTTCTTAATTCGTAATTAATTTGATTATTTACGAGCGACCGGGAATATCTTCCGAACCCATATCGTCATTTCAAAGATGCAAGTTATAATAGAAATTAAATGGAATTACAGCGTAATGTGACAAATTGAGAGAAACCCGATGGGCATGCAGTTACCTATATGCTGTTCCTCGAACTGCTGGAAACCGGCTCGTGAGAGAGTCGTGAACGATGCGGTGGATCAGTCGGTGACTCGTTTCCGGAAAGCTCACCAACGCCAGTCTCGTGATTCCGCACGCAAACCACTTCTCGTCTTATTAAATTGCACTGCTACGTGAATCAATTTGAATCACCGTCGTACAACAGCCGCGTTCTCCGATTAAGTAAGAATTACTCGAGGACTATGCGAACGACGCGGCACGTTGACGTGTATTCGTGTCTCTAATGCAAAAAAGAAGATTATAGGAAAGAGTTAAGAAATAAAAATAACAGGTTCTATGCGTAAAATATGAAATTAACTCGTAATATGTATAATACAGAGCACAAAAAAATGATATCCAAGAGAAGGAAAAAGAGTGGCACGCAACACTGATAATTTTTTTATGCGTTTCAGTTTTATAGTCCACTGAATTCTAGAATTTTTTTATCGTAAACAGATGGCAGATGTGGTATGTGTTATCAAGGATGTACAAGTATATATATCTTATCGCATTATCATCCATTATAACACCCTTAAATATATAAATTTTCGAAATTCGATCGATTAAGCATATTTGGACGGGCCCTTTATAATAAATACGGAATATATTTTAATCATTTTACTTTCATGAGAGAAATAAATACAAATATGATAAACGTGATGGTATTTTTAGCTTTGTTAGAAAAATCAATTTATCATCTTAGATGCTTATCGTTTTAGATGCTATCGCGATATGAAAACATTGCTCCGAAAGGAAAAGCCGACAAGTCGTTTTCCGTAGTAGATACGTTAAAATAGCCAACTATAGTCTCTCGAGACCCAAAGAAGCCGATTGTCCTCGCGATGAAACGAACGACGAAGAACGACGAAAGCTGTTTTTTCTCTTTCTTTCTCTGTCTCTCGCTCTCTCTGTCTTTTCGCTCATATCTTTTTGCTCTCTCCGTCTCTCCCGTATCCTTTTGTCCCGGCAAAAGAAACGTGGGTCGAGGAGCTCGTGCCCTCGCCGTTAGGCAGTATGAAATCTGCGATTTTATCGCACCCGTTATGCCAGCTATATAGACCGCTCCAAGAGAATAGCGCTTATTCCTTTTGACATTTGAACAAACATTAATGATGATCAAAGCAACATTAAGATAATAATTACACTCGAGGAACGAAAAAAAGAGTCCCTCTTTTGAACTTTGCGAAATAATTTATCTTAGACGGTAAAATAAAATTATCCACGTAATATAAAATTTTACGTGTCGCGAAATAATAGAATTCGCACGATACGATTATTGTTATAGTGATTTAAAAAAATTTATTTCGTATACGATCGCAATTAAAAGGGATAACTATTGGGCTATCCTGTTGTAGCACGCTTAATTGAGGCCGTGGTAAGCCTTGTACATCGGTTCGGTTATTTCGATCCCCGTCTTTTTCACCGCGAGATCGATCGATATTGACGAGCATGAAACTTTCACAGAAGCGAGGCTTCTTCGACGTCGCGACGAAAAGCCGAAGCGGAAGCGAGGAACAAACGCGCGTGAAATTGCTCGAAAGAACGACTCTCCGAGCATCGATATTCAGCGAAAAACAAGCGGCAAACGTTAATAATGCCTGCTATTCATGCCCTCGTCCCCGTTGCGTATTTCCTCTGAACTTCGAGTCCGGGCCGCGCGAGTCAGAAAGAGAGAAGAGAGACCTATGCTAAAGGGAGATCTCTCAAAGTGGCAGTTTTCCCAACAACCGCGAGTGTGCGATGCATTCACGCATCGCCCTCGTCACACTTTCAATGAACGGCACACGTATGTGCATGCCAGATAAAGAAAAAAAAACAGCAAAAAGACGCGTAGAAATATATATATAGAGATGACGACAGATGGATAGGACAAGTTTTTTATTGTATTCTATAAAGAACTTGTCGCATACAACACAGGAAGTAATATATAGTAAAAATAAAATACATACATTTATATATATACATATATAAAGGCGCGCGTGTAGAGTGATAAGATAAGACTATCGAGACCAAGTATGCATCGGCACATACGGGAGCAGTGCGAAAAGTGTGTAACGCGAGAGATAAAGAGAGAAAGAGCAAATTTATTTTTATGCTCCGGGATCAAATTCCCTACGGCAATAATCATTGTATGAAACCGATATAAGTCTGTAACCAATAACGAAACCAATAATAATGCTGGCTGAAAAAAAGAGAAGACGCAAAGTTAAAGCAAAAATCTTAAGTAGCGATAAGGCAAAGAGCAAAAGCGAGGGGGAGGGCGAAGGCGAAGACAAAGACGATCCCGAGACGAGAGTGAATCCCAAGAATGCAAAGAAAAGAAAAGGCAGAAAACGGAAAAGAGAAAAGAGAGGAAAAACGAAAGTCGACGCGGATGCGGGATCGAGGAGAGACGACTACGAGCAAAGGGCACGTGCAATTGAACGGAGCGAGAAGGGCGAGGGCGAGGGCGAGGGCGACAGCGAGGGCCAACCTCTCTCGTCGACAACGCGCCCTCCCGCCTCCCGCGAGACGCTCGGGACGCGGTAGGGCGACGAACGAGAAACGCGCGGCGTGTGCGATCTCTCGGATTACGCGCGGCGAACGGGCGAACAGACGGGCGAACAGACAGGCGGACGGACGGACGAACGTACAGACAGACAAAACGAGGGAGAGAGTCACGGGGTACGCGTAGAGCCTAGGCACGATACTGAGGACCTCCGCGAGCCGCGGCGGCTCGACGCCGACGGTGCTTTCCTCAAGAGGGAGAAGAGGCGCGGGAGAAGGCGCGACACGTAGGAGAGGGGATCGGACGGGCGGCCGGGGGTGAGACGCAAGGGGTCGGAGGATAGAGGCAGGGGGGCAGAGAATTCTCTCTGTTATAGATTAAAATTTTTTACGGGGAAGATATTGATTGTTGCTTTTTATTAATGTAACATTAAAGTGGTGCCCGCGGCGGTGGGGGCAATCGCGCCCCGCTGTGCGCGCCCGACGGTGGTGGGGCCCCCCTCTCGACCGCGGACGAAGTGGGGTGATCGAGTGGGGATGACGAAGAGGACATGGAGGGGCGGAAAAGGGGGAGAGATACCCGGAGACGCGCAACGACGAGCGAGAGGAAGTAAGAACCGACGCGCGCTCCGCGAAACGGCGGCGCGAGGGGGACGTAGAGAAGAAGATCCGGGCGGGGGTGAGAAGGCGACGGGGGCGAAGGGGGCGAGGGGGGAGAGAAAAGGGGCACGGAAGAGCGCGTCGCGAGGCGCGTCGACGGTGGAGGGGACCGAGCGGAAGAGCTCGAAGCGGCGGAAATAGTGCCATAAATACGAACATTTTTCGCAGCGTCTTGCAGCCCTGTTTTGACAATCATCCCCTCCAACGAAACTAGCGTGCCCTCTCCGTCATGCGATTCCTGCCGGGCGGCCCCCTCGGAACCTCTCTCGTTCCTTCCCGCCCTACCCGGCTCGCGTTTCTTCCCCCTCGGCTCCGTCCCCCTTTGTACGCCTCTCATCCTCCGGATCTTAAATACATGGATACACTTACACACACGCGGATCAACGAGCACCCCTCGCGCACCCTCTTCGCCTCGTCTACCGGGTGTACTACCCCCGCTCCTCCGTCTTATATATCCTCGGCCTATTCTTCTACTCGCTTTGACATTTTTCGCGAGTTAAGGCCCGCTCGAACTTTGCGGAAATCCATCTTGCGCTGACTCGCCGCACCCCTCTTTCTTTCTCCTAGTCTCCTTGCCCCTCTCTCGTCGACTCGGTTTTTTGTCTCCTTTTTCCAATTTTTTGCGCCTCGCTTTTTTTTCCGTAAGGTAGAAGAGGGGTCGACGGGATGGATCGATGCTTCTTTTCGAGACAGCAACGACGACGAGGAGACGGAACCGAGTTTTCCCTGTCGCGGACGGATCTTTAATTGCCGATTTACCAGGGCGACACAACGACGCTTACGTCCATGTAACGCGTCAACGCGCGTCGCGTACGTAAACGTGCACACGGTAAACTGTAATTGAGAATCGCAGAGAGAGATTGCGAAAGAGAAAATGATTAATGGACGGCGCGATCGGATCAGAGGTGAGATTAATCGAGGGAAAACGCTAATACGAGTTCATCGCTCGCTCGATTACGTACATGACACTATATGTGCAAACATATACGATCGTACATATATACATAATTGCGCGATACGTTCGTGTAATGTACGCCAATCTTCATAATCTTTCGCGCTGTCGCGTTGTCAGTACGTTCTTTGATCTTTACAAGCGTACAATTCCGAGCCGTTGAAACCATTCAAGAGATTCAACCATTGAAGACTCGCACGTTTTCTTCTCATTATGACGTCAGAGAATCTTTCCTCATCGTTACTTTTGCGTAACAAATTCCCCTTTTTCGAAAAAAAAAAACGAAGCAACAAGCGCGATTACTCAAGACACTCTCATTTTATAAGAGTGCATTTAAAATTGAACGTATCTTTAACCTTTCGTATATCGACGGGAACAAATTCCACGCAGTTCTAATAATAAAGAGACGCGTTGTATCTACTGTTGATTCTAAAGTTTCCCAGAAGGAAGCTCGGTGTCCCTTGGCGCAACCCTGAATGAAAACCCAATAGGGCATAGAAAATATTGACTTCTTAAACACGCACCTAACACTACGGGCTTAAAATGCTTTTTCCGGGAAAAACGGCTAAATACATCGTCAAAATTTTATTTTCCTTCGGCACGTTGAACGTGTAAAGTGTAAAGAATTAACGGCAAAAAATTCGAAGAATACAAAGAATGAATCACGTCGCTCTTATCTCGTTACGAAGAAAATATTATTTTCTAAAAAAACACGCTATATCTACGTATACGTTCGTGCATGTTTTACAGAGCGTGCTATCGCTAATCAAACATTCGCAAAAACCCACCGCACTCTGTCGTGCCCTTTTAAAGGGTCAATTCGCGTTATTTCCGCGTTCCATCGTCTCCTTAAGAACCTCGGAACGAAGGAAGCCACTTCAGGATCCTCGGTTGGGTTGGATTTCACCGACTCCGCCGTCACGAAGTTGAAGCCCTACAGAGGAAAAAGGATCGAAAGGAAACTCGACTGTGCCATCCGTGCAATCGTCAGGCAACGATCGATTTCGAACTGATGTTATCGCCTACTCATCTGCCGAAAAATTACGGATGCTGTCGCTACTGCTGTATCTCACACGGATGTATTGATATACAGGGTGTCCCAGACCATCCCTTTTAAAATGAAAATAAATGGCTTTTATCAAAAATCGCGAACAGTTTTTAAGTAAATCGGGTACGCTCTATCAAATGGTGATATTTTCAACTTTTGATTTCGACCGGAAATACGCCATCCGGATCGGAAGTTGAATTTTTTTAGGGAAACATGGTACTTTTTAATTCGAATCTGTAGTAAAAAGTACCAGTTCCTCTAAAAAAATTCAACTTCCGAAAGGCGTATTTCCGGTCGGAATCAAAATTTGAAAATATCACCATTTGATAGAGCGTATCCGATTTACTTAAAAATTGTTCGTGATTTTTTATAAAAGTCATTTATTTTCATTTTAAAAGGGGTGTAGTGGTCTGGGACACCCTGTATATCTTGTTTTATATTTCGTTGAAAATGGATTTATATAGCAACAGTTAACTTAATATTATTTTTTTAAATTTGAATATCTTTATTAAAATATTAATTTTGAAATTAATTACACGGTATGTGTAATACGACATTTAAAAATACTATTATTTTCTTCTTCAATTCATTATTTTTTAATGCTGTCTTTCGTGATTTTAATGTAATTGTGTGTTGTATGTAATGTGTTTTTTAAATATTTTTGACATGTTTTTTAAAAAATTACTTTTTATTTTATTCTATATTTTTGTTAATGTTTAAAAATTTGAAAAATTATCGTTAAAAATATCAATTTTTAGTATCGAAAGAATCAATATTTATTTCAATACGAAATAAGACTTTCTTTGTTCGATATCAAAAAAATATTCGTACATGGATTACCAACTCTAAAGAATTATTTACATAAAAAATGAATGCTTTTCTCTATCTAAGATTTGAAAGGTTTTTTTTGTAAAAAATTATTTTTTTACTCGAGTATTAAAGTAGCATTATCAGGAAATTTTACTGGTTAGTGCAGTTTTATTATTAGATTTTGCATGCATATTTCTCTTTTTCTCTCTCTCTCTCTATACTGCATTATACATATAATATATAATTATTCTATAAATTTATTCATTTTAATTCACTTTTTGCATTTAAAATTACAAGAATCGATCGACTATGAAGGACACAGAAGCGAAAAATGCAACAGTAAAAAAAACCAAATAGATATTATCGGAGTCTTAAATTGCATATGATTATAATAATGCATAACACTTCAATATAGAAGTATTGCAACTTTTAACATTAATTCGAATGATACTTTTAAACATGACGTAGCGTTTGTTGAAGTGCGTGAACGTTGTTCCTTGTGATGAAATGACGCCATCGCCTTCTCCGTTTTGGTTGTTTGGATCGGCGTTACTGAACACACGTTAGGTTAACACACTGTTATCTTATCGCGTTAAGAAAAGGAATTTTGATTACGAAGTAGGTAGTAGGTTGGGCCCCTCTTTATTGCTGCAGTACGATTGGTTCAATCTTTTTCTTTCCGATATGCTTTGATCAAGGAATCAAGAGTAAGGCCCATATTCAATTTGTTTTTATATTTATCTTAAGTACGGCCTTAAAATGCTGCGTGACTATTTCATTGGCTGGATAAAAACTTAATATATATACTTACAATTTTTAAGATAAAAAAACAAACTATGAATCTAACTGGATAAACTGAAGAGAAAGATTGAAAACAGACAAGAGGCAGAGAGAGGCAAAGACAGATTTATTAAAACCGGAAAGAATGAGTTGCATCATTTTCCCTTGCATTTGTGCCGCTCACGTTCCTCGGAGATTTCAATCGAATCTCGAAAGAATACTCTTTGATAAATGCGATTTTTAATTTCTGATGTTAAATGTCTCTCTTGATAAGTTTCAGTTAAAATATATAAAAAGAATCGCTGTAACAGGAATGACGCATGTTTGCAATTTATAACGCTTATTTCAAATATGAATCATATCTAAAACAGGAAACTTATACGAGATGATTTACGAATTAGATTCATCAAATTATTAAAAACTCATTAATATTAATAATGTATTAAGGGTCTTAAAAGTAACAAAATTTTTAATATTTTCAATTGTCAAGTATTCTCGACTTGATACAAAAAATCGCATCGTATAAATTTTTATCGAGGAAAAATCAATTTCGAAATTAATGTTTCAAGCATCCTCGGCGCACCTCGCAAAGCAGCCTGTATTCTTCTCTTTTCTCTCTTACAACGAGCATCGTCTCGTTTATGAATTCACCTTCTTGCCGTTTGTCCTTCCCACTTTGGCGCGGTGAGCCGAGGCTAGGTTTAATTCTCAAAGAGCGATAGCAATTTCCCGAGGAGGAAAAGGAGCGGAGACATGCGCGCGCGCTAGTCGTACTCGATCGATGCGTCATAAGCGATTAATCTATTTAACCCATCCGCGACGACGACGTCGTCCATCGGCCGTTTGTACGAAGGAAAGACGAGTAACGACGTTATCGGTCCCCCTTTTTAAAACGAATAACCAGAACGGTCGGACTTTTCGATTATAAAAGCGAAATATGCCGACGTATTTTAATATGACAAAAACTTTTTTAATCTAAAAATATTTTGGAAAGTGCTCCAATCGGAATAATATATCTTGTATAAAATCAAATTTAAATTTTTTATACATACTCCAAGTTTATAAAAAAATTAGTCTGATTATTTTCAAACTTTGAGAGTAAATGAATGATGCTTTGTTCCTCTCTCATACTTAATAGGAGAAACAGGAAATGTATGTATAACTATAACGCGATATACAATATTTTCAAGGAATACAAGAGAACGTGTGTGCCAGTCTCTGGCATAACGTTTAAACTAGTTGGAAATTACGTCATCGGTGTCACGCCTTTAAACTTCGAGTCTATTTGAGATAATTCTCCATCGGATTTTAACAAAGTTATTTGAACGTTCCTCGACCTACAATAAATAACACATATGTCTATATTATTTATGCAATATGCTTAAAAAAATAAAGGAAGTCGAATTGAATACCTTGACTGTTGCTAGACACAATTGAATATTGCTAAAAATATTGGATTTATATTTTTACTGCAATACGCGCTAAATTAACGGGATCTATCAAGTATTTAAAGATTGCAAAATTTTCTCAATCTGTTGTATTTAGAAAAACTATTAATATTTACAAATCTTTAATTTCCTAAAATTCTCTCAAATTACTTTTTCAAAATGTTATATACATTTCTTTATCTTATTAATTTACTTTCCCAAAATTTTAACTATTTAATATCGAGCATCACCACAATAGTCCCATCGAGACAAAGTGGCCTTTCATGAAATTTCTATCGAAAAAACGAATCATCTCGAGATATGTAAAATAAAATAAAAATTAAGATCAACTACTCGTCTCACGCGATCTCGGCCACGAAAGGGTTAAGGGCGTACGTGAGCACGTGGCCCTCGAAAGCGGCGCGCGCGCGAAGAATTAATGAAGAACGATTATGCGGCATGCCGCTTCCCACGCTCGGCGTGCACTTCGGTTTACATATCGCCGGTGCACGTCAAAAAGAGAAAGAGCGAGAGTGAACTGTGTGTCGGGCCCGTTGAAAAAAAAGAGCGGGTGGGTTGGCGGGCAGGATGAGCAGGCAGGTGGAAAAAAAAAAAAAAAAAAGAGGAAAATGAATCATGTCGCTGCTCTCTGGCCTTCCGGCGCACGTATATCGCGTATATGTCCGAGCTGCCAAAAGAGCCGGCTAGCTTGCGCGATGAATGGTTTTTCTGGCGCACGTTGCCGCTGCCGTTGCGAGCAAATGCTTCTACAAACTCCCCGCCCGCGCGCGCACGTGGAGAAGTCACGGTAGAGTAGTAACATAGTATGTTATACGCGGCGATTTAATTGCTTTCGGTCGTAGCACAATGTTATCGCCGTGACGCTTTACTTTTGCCTATCGGACGATTTATATCGTTTTTAATTAGCGACGCGTGTAACTGACAACAGTCATCGATAGTGATATATAATATCGCGGTAAAGCGGAATGAAATGGCGAATCGCCGTGTCATCGACAAGAAAAAAAAAAGCGACTTCCATTCTTAGAATCGTAATCATGCTTACTTTGCAGATTCAATATAACTCGAATC